GTTTGTCGCTAGGTATTTGACCAAATAGGATCGTCCAGTTCCTATAGAACCTATCACTAAAATACCCCTAGAGGGGGATAAGGCTAAGCGGAGCGAAAAGGGTTTTCCAGGAGATGGGAAATGAAAACTATTTTCCCCACACGAAGTTTGTGAATAAGTGATTGTCTGATAATGAGCAAGGAATATCCGTCTTTCTGCTAAACAGGATGGATTGAACTCATAATTCATTAGATGCTTTTTATGAATGTCAACTAAGTATCGTAAGTAAATTGCTCCCGGTTGTTCAATCATTTGATAACCAGAGTCATTCTTTGATAAATGATCACTATGAGTCAGACTCAATAGAATTTGATCAATCCTATTTTCTGTCGTTAAGGTGGAGAACTGAACCAAGAATTCTCTTTCTTCATCATCAATCGAATCACTGTTCGCGACCCAGGATTCTATTTTCTCATCAATCCAATCCCCGTTCACGTTTTTTCTTTTTCTTATCAATGAATAGATCTCTTTACTTGTATGACTTAGATGTCTCGTATTTCTCGAAAAAGTGATTCGATTGATGGGATTTGGTATGAGATCGATGATCTCGATGAGATTGATATTCCAATCTTTCTTCTTAGAACGTATTGATTTGACCCCATAAGCGGGACCAAGCATGTTGCCGCCAGAAGCAGAACCCCGTATTTCTTCTAGAGAATCTCCTAATTGTTCCAGAGCAACTAGAAAGAGATTCTTTAACCAGAAAGAATTCGGTTCAGATGTAGGATACCTATCCAGAAGTTTTCGCAACTCAATCATAGATGATGGAATCATCAAAGATTTTACCTTTTCGAACTCTGTCTGTAACTCACTAGAGGCCCGGGAAACAAAGAGAAGATGTGTACGAACGAGATATCCAACAACAAGAAAAAGGAAAATGATTGAATAGAGAAACTCCCGAGCATTTGGCGATCTCAGATGTGTCGATATCAATGGTGACTCATTATTTCGATGAATCATTTCTTCGGACAGAAGAAGATTATGTAAACACTTACTCGAGATCTCACTTATCAGATTCCATTGTGGAAGACACAATTTTCTCTGAAGAATTCGCCATGATATACCTGATCCATGCATAATATCAGGAAAAATGGATACAAATTTTTTAAGCTTCGAATTTTGGACCTCAAGAACATGTTGCTTATGATATTTCACGATCAGTATTAGAAATAAACGAAAACGCAATAGAACGAGCGAAATCACATATTAGATTACTCAAACCGTGTTCAAATTTGAATAAGTCAACAAATGATTTTAGAAACATAATTAGGTTAAGCCAGTATCTCTTATGTCGTGCTTTGTAACACCTCACAGTTCTACTCTTAGAATCTGAATCTTCTGTTGTAAGTATATAACATCGCACAGGTCTGCATTAGTCGATTGAGTGGACTGGTTAGCTTTGTTGTAATGTTGTTGATAATATTTATTGCATATGTTATCTATTTTACGAAGTTATGTGCTTACATGTTCATACTTCATATATATGGAGTTGGTTGATGATCTCTATGGTGTATTGATACTGCATTTGCCCTTTTTTTGTTAAGTACATGGCATATTTCGATGGCTGCTTCGTGACCTCAATTATGAGTCCAACATTTCTTGAATCCAAAGATGAGCTGCTTCTTCCGAGCTGCTATGGATTCATCTTTTCCCTCTGGTCCTTTTTTCAGACTTAGACTGATTTTTATTTTGGGGTTGCATCCCCATATTTTAGAATTCATAGATATTTAGGTACACGACTTTCAGGTTCTTGAGAGAGTGGGGGTTTCTGCGAATGTTTTGATGGTGGTTGATATAAAGACTTGTTTTGCTTATTAAAAATGTTGTTTTAAGTGATTAATTGCTTGTGTATTAGCAAATTATTGGATCTCCTATCAGAGATTTAATGTGGATGCCTCTAATGACGGCCGGTTGGATCGTGACACTTGGAGATGCAATCTGAATATAAGAGATTTTTTCTGGCTCAGCCGCCTGAAGATTGCTTATGTGAAGGAATTTCAAAAATTACTGTTGTATTTTAGGTGTTTTGATAATCCTCACAAATGCAAGGTCCCAGTCCTTGGAAGAGTGTTGTTGTCCAGGTTCAAAATGGTCTACATCTGTAAAGCTGTCTTGTCAGGTTGGTTGGTGAAAAGTGCAACGTACTTCACCAATAGGAAGGGCGGACGAGGTTGTTTGTTTCAGTGGTCAAAATCCTTGTTGGTGATTGATATATACAACAATAAACAAACAACATTATTCATTCAAAAATAGAGAGCTAGCAAGTCTTTTCAAAAACTCAAGCATCAAAGAACACACTACAAGGGACCTGGTCCTAGAAAGACTGCGTACATGAAAAAGTCAAAAGACAGCTGTTTAAAATCTGTCACGCCTAACATGGTTTGTGCACAGCTTTTCAGAGTAGCAGGCTCTCAGCCAATGACCTTGTCCCAAGGGGTTTATGTCCATTTGATATAGTCACTTCTCACAAGAAACAAACCTAAGATTTGGTAAACAAAGTTTTGAATTTCTGAAATTCATAAGCTCAAAAAGAAAAGGTTATCTTTAAGGAAGAACACTGCTCATACTCAACAAGGGACCTGATGGAATGTTGAAGCGTCTTGTTATATTTGAGTTTTGTATTTTATGTGCTTATATTGTAAATCTACTCCTAAGTTATAAAAGATAGTAGATCGGTTGCTTGTCTAAGTCTTTAGTTTGAGTCGTATTAACTAGAGTTAGTTAGTCGAATCATCTATATTTTAGTCAAGCCTTTTTACATCATTGTTTTGATGTTGGTGGCTAGAGTTAGCCTTGGTGGGTTCATGAAGTCTAGATCAACTAGAGCTAGTTGGTTTAGTGGGCAATATAGTTATTGCTTTGTTTTCCTTTGTAGTAGAGTTGCTACAGCAAGGGGGAAGGAATTAAGAGTTTAATTCCTAGGTTGCAAGAGTTTGTAATTTGAAACTTTGCTCCGTTTGAGTGAAATGGAGTTTGGGGTTGAAATCTTGTGAGTACAGGTCGTGGTTTTCACCGCCCTTGAGCAAGGGGTTTCCATGTAAAATCCTTGTGCCTTATTTACTCTGAGTTATTTATTTTCCGCACTATTATTCTGTCTGGGACCTGGTCCTGTGATCACTAGTGGATGCCTACATTCTAACTATTACAAATATGATAGTGTTGTGATTTAACTCTGTCTCGAAAAGCTGTGTTTTTTGAAAAAATTGCTCTTTTATATGTGTTAGAAGGGAAATGGTTCTGGACGGTTGGTTATCGTGGTGAAACCCAAGGAAAAATGTTACCGAGTACTTGCATATGAAGTGGTGCCCAAAGGAAAATGATTCCCAACAGGTATATGGATGGCAACAATCCCCCCTACCTCACAGTAGAGCGGTTGTGGAAGGGGTGTATACCGATAGGATCGTTGGTCACTGCATTGCATTTCATATTGTTACATGTTCATATTGATTCTACTTGCTATATTGATTGAACTAGTTGGACTTTTCTGAGTGCAGGGTTATTAATATTCTTTATTTAACATAGCTACTAGTCTTGTTTGGTCAGCCTATAATGTCTAATGAGCATTCGTGATTTTGTACTCAGCTTACTGCATCTTTTCTGATGTAGATCCCAGTACTAGCAGCACCCGTTGACTTTAATCATACAGAGTGCTTGTGACTTGAAGTTTGCATCAGTTGGAAGGAATGCAACTAGAAATTTGGGTCTTCGATACTTCAGATTTGATACAATATTTCCTTCATCAAGCAAGAGAGGACCGGAAAGGCTATTTAATATCAGAGACACGGGAAGAAGTGAGTCGATGTTAAAGAGTGCTGCAGGAATAGAACCTGATAATTGATTATCAGTCAAGTACAAAAATGCAACTTTGCTTACATTACCAATATCCTTCGGAGTTTGGCCCTTGATTCTCTTTCCCAGACAAACTGAAGTTCAGCAGCTTTGTGGCATTTCTAACAGAAGGTAGGATTATACCTGTGAAGCTATTGTTACTCAAAGTTCCGGTACATACCATGACTTTTTCCACATTTCACCACAGAGTCTATTGAAAGCCAACGAAATTACTTGAACTCTCTGATGTTGAAATAGACTTATTGGAATTCTTCCTTGGAGTTGGTTGTTTTGAATATTAATCACTTACAAGCGAGGAAAGTGGCCACGGCCTTAAGGGATGCCACCGTAGAAGATGTTGTTCTCAAGATTGAGCACACGGAGAAAGGACAAATTGACCAAAGACGGGGAAATTGTGCCCTGAAGTTGCAAATTAGGAAGAGCTAAGGCCACAACCTTTTACCCTTTTGAACTACAAATGACACCAAACCAAGAGCAAAAAGAAGTATTCTTGGTCCCAATTATTGTCCAAAATATGACTACGTCTTGTAACAAGAAGCAAACGATATAAATAAGAAGCATTTAAACACAGTTGTGGCTACCATGTACAGACCATTTTGCTCTGAGGTTTCATCTTTATATTTAGTAACAGAGTTATTTGGTGGGATTATGTTTGTTAAATTACTTTCTTATAGACAGAATTTACAGAAAGATTTCGTACTAGTACATGAGCAATAACTATACTATTTCAAATGTATCTATATAATGTAGACTAGGCAATAGTCCGTTCTTATGAAAACTATACCTCGTTATGAGGTTAGCAACTCTTCCAAATTCAGAACTAATGTTTTTCTTCTCTTAATTAAACTCCTATTACTATAGGAATTGCAAAAATGTTTATGATATATAGCCTTTGACACCTTCTCATAATCGTTATCGTTACCTCACAGTGATTGAAGCTGAAAGTTTTCTTGGCTTATGTGATCCTCGCCTTTCTTGACTTCATTTTCTTTTGCTCCCCATTCTGCATGTTTGTGTTCTGTTGATGCTGAAAAAAATGCAAGTGTTTGTACTCGTTGAGATTGTCTGTGGTGAGGCAAGTTCATCATTCACAATGCATTCATATTCTTTATTCATCCTGTTTTAGCTTGACCATCTTTGAGTTGAGAATTTTCCCGTCTAGCTAAGTCAGCAGCAGCTTTTGCCTCATTGATAGCCTGCTTTAAGATGTCTCTCAATTTGTAGTTTTCTTCCTTTGCTGCTTTACTTCTTTGCTCAGCTTCTTTAAGAGATTCGTTCAGCTTAGTAGCCTCGTGTAGAGCAAGATCTCGTTCTTCTTGAACTTCTTTTATACATTCGATGAAGCTCATTTCTTTTCCATTCCAAGACGAAAGTGACTCATCCGCCTCTAATTTCAATCTCTCTGCTGTGTTCCTATACAATTCTGTTTCCCTTTTTGCTTCATCCAAAAACATTTTATATCTAGCCTTGGTGCTTTTGACAATCTCTTTCAGATTTCTAACCTCCTTTTTCCCTAGTCCTAATTCTTGTTGTGTAGCACAAAGCTTCTCTTTCGCCTCAGATGCTTCGTAAGAAACTTCCTTCAATGCCAACGCCAAATCATCTAACGCCTTTCTGCTCTTTTCCTCTGCCTCATTTGCCAATTTCATTTCTCTTTTTAGCAAACTCATCTCATCATTCAAAGCCTTGGCCTTTGATGATGCAATCTTCTCGTTCTCGTTTCTTATTTCCTTTTCAGTTGAATTTTTAGTCTGTCCATTGTAAGAAGTGTCGAAAGATTCAATCTTTCCATGAAGAGAAGCTATTTCAAGCATGGATTCTTCAAGTTCAATCTTGATTTCTTCAAATTGTCTTGTCTTAGCTAACCAAGCATCAAATATTTTGGACTCTGATAACTTCTTGTTCTCTAATTCATCTTCTAATTCTTGAACCCTTCTCTTAAAATCAGATAACCAATCCGTTACACGAATCTTGAATGCTTTTACAGGACTAGATACATCTTTTTCTGGTATCTTGAGATCACATTTTATCGCCTTTTCGAGCTCCAACTTCAAAGACTTGATATTCTTATCTTTTATCTTTACTTCTTCTTGTTTGTTAGTAAGCAATTCCTTCAAAGTCCTAACTTCTTCATAGAGTTCACTTGATGTTATTCCATCACTTGCCTTGTGGACTACTTGCTTTATCTCACTTAGTTCATTTATAGCTTTCTTCTTTTCTCCTTCAACAAAACATAATTGTTCTCTTGTCTCTCTCAAATCCTCCTCAAGTTTTTCCATTTGTTCTTGCATAACAACACGTCTATCAGTTCGATTCTACACACACAAAAAAAAAAAAATATCTAATTTTTGGACGAATTGATACAAAAATGATTACGCCACAATCCCAAACTAGTTGGAGTCAACTATATCAATTCTAAGTATCCATTTGACATAAAATTTGCATACTGAGCACCTAGATAGTATGTAAAGTCACAACTTTTTATAATACCTTAGATGAATGGTTAAAAGAGGGCTTCATTTCAAGAGAAACAAGGGCATTGGTATCAATTTGTGATCCCAAAGCATCACATCTACAAAGTTTGGATGCAGAAATTGTTTTTGAAATGATTGAAGAATTTCTCCTCTTTCCAGAATCATTATTGGACCCTACTCTGCAAATCCTCCAAAAACATCAAATATTCAATAAATGATACAAAAAGGGGGTCAGATCTTTTCATCTGTCTAAGCCTTGATGGTAGATAAAACATGACTAGTAAAATAATTAAGGTGCGTGCAAGTTGTGTTATACCTTGACTTGGAACGTAACATCATGCGTATGTGTCTCGAATCACTATTCATTGATGATTATTCTTGATCTTGGAAAACTCAGAAAATATATCAAAAGTTTTACTTTAATTATGCATAGAAAAATTGGTGGTGGAGAAGAGTAAAAGGCCCCTATATACAAAGTTGGAAGTTTGCAGGTTTTACTTGTAACGGCAAAAATCCATAAATTGCAACATATAAAAAACAGTAAATGTTGAGAGCCGATATGTAATTTAATAACATAACTAATTGGGAGGTTTAACAGTTTCAACCTTGTATTTTTAATAATGTGATTTGTTAATTAATAGGTCTAATACATAAATGTGTTATTTAATTTGACTTCATTTCATATTTATGTTCTCCAACTTTGGATGTACACAAGTAGACACTTAATTAACTTATATACAGTTGAACGAAAAGACATATATGTCATACATGGCATCCTACGTGACAATTTATGTCATATATGGTGTTCTATGTGTATTATGTCTACACGTTCAATTTTATACAAGTTCAAGTAACTACTTGTGCATAATAAATATGATAAGAGATCAAGTTAAAAAATACATTTATATATTATGCCTAATTAATAAAATAAAAGTAAATATATGTGATCACACAAATTAAATAATAAGATGCTTCCTGCTTCTTTCAATAAATACTATATTGTTCGTAGTCCATGCCTCCTTTGGCATGAAAGTCAATTAATAGTTTCTTTTCTAGTCCCTAGACTTTTTATTTTTTTCTTTACGAAAATCGACGGATAGAGTCATTTTGAAATGCAAAATTGCAATTGAACGGTACTACAAATAAAAATGATGAAAATATTTCATCGAAGAGCATGTATAATTGTTGGTAAAATTATCCAAAAGTTATTGAAAATACCTGGGTTTGATTCCACATAGCTAATTTTTCATATATATTTTTGAAAAATTGACAATGTAGCATCTGTCAGTTTAGCGTCGATTTTTCTTTAAAAAAACTGATCATGTCCATCGATTTTTTCCCTCGATTTTATCCCTTTTTTTAGCAGTGGGCATGTTTAATGCAGCGTCTGAATTCGTCTAGGGGTTGGGAAGCATGGTTATTTTTTTTCATTTTTGTTTTGTTTAATCAATGATATGCCGCTCTAGTTTAATAAACTATAATTCAATGTTATTTTATTCTCTAATAACTACTGCAACAAGTACCTTAATATAGTTTGTTTAGCTCAAGTTACAATTGCCAATTGGCACTAATTAAGTATATCATGTCTCAAATAATAGTTTCAAATACAAGTATGCACATTTTCGGTTTAATCTTCCACTATAATGTGAGATTCGCTTAAGGTGTGATATGCATTCGTGTTTCAAAAGTTTGTTCGCGTAGAATTCTATTAGTCCTTCTACTACTATGGATAAAGGTTTTTTCCACGGAAAATTAGTGAGAATTTGTGTTATAAAACATGATTTTTTTCACTCATTTCTCAACGAAACAGCTCACTAAAAAAATACATGACGGGAAATAGATTCTCATTAAAATATTGAGAAACTTTCTAACCATATGATAACAACAACAACAACATACCTAGTGTACCCCACAAAGTAGAGTCTTTAGAGGGTAACTGTACATAGACCTTACCACTAACTTAGAGGTAGAGAGGTTGTTTCCGATAGATCCTTGACTCAAGAGAAAAAATAATTCAAATAAGTATACAAAAAGAAATAGCGAAAAATGAAGACAATCATGACAAAATACCACAGACAACCTCAAAAATCATCATAAATGGTAGTCATAACAAGATACCACATAATCGAAGTGTAAACAAACTACAAATAATAATCAAAGTCAAAGGACAAAGAAAATAACTATTACTACGTCTAATAGTAAAGAAGAATAAGCGAGACAACATTCAACTATCTAACTAGCTTCCTACCCTTGTATGTGTCCTCCATAACCTCCTATCTAAGGTTATGTCCTCGATAAGCTGAAGTTGTATCATTTAATGTCTAATCACCTATCTCTATACTTATTTGGCCTACTTCTACCCCTCCTCAAGTCATCCATAACTAACCTCTCACACCTCTACACTAGGGCATCCGTGCATCTCCTCTGCCCATGTCAGAATCATTTTAATCTTATTTACCACATTTAATTGTCCTCTATCAACGAGGTCACTCCTACCTTGTCTTGCCTATTTTCATTTCTAATCTTGTCTCTCCTAGTATGCACACACATCTCGTTATCCTCATCTTCGAAACTTTCATCTTGTGAATGTGGAAGTTCTTGACTCAGTACACTCACTCTATACATGTAAAGAATAAGAGACTAATAAAATCAACAGTCCTCTTCTTCGTGTATCTTTTCTTCTATAATTTATGTACGTATTTATTAGTTTACTGATTTCACTAAGAACCTTCAAGTTTATCTCAAGTAATTAATTAAGAACACAAACGTACGGTAAACTAAATATGTTGTTGAGAATTTAGATAAAGCATACACTCCAGAGTTACAGGTCAATTTATCCAATCTAGTTGTGCATGTCCACTTTAGTTAGTGTAGATGATAAAATTTGCATCGAGAAAATAGTAATCAAGAACGGAGAAATATCGCAGCGATCGTATTTATTATTTCAAAGTGCGAGTGTTACAATCTCTATGATTCCTCTGAATTCGCTTTTTCAAATATAAATTCAAGGGCTCTTGAGCTTAATCTTGAATTTGTCTTGAACTTGATCTTGGATTCAAGGACTTTGAAGCTTGTTCTTGAATCTTTGATGAACTTGAACTTTATCTTGACTTTTACTTGAATTCAAGGGCTTCGAGCTTGTTCTCATATAGAATTTTATGGCGTTTGTACCACGGACTTTCTCTAGCTTCTTGTTTAGAATTTTCTGTCCATTTTCTGAATTATGTAGACCCCTATTTATAGTTTTAGAGTAGAGGAGTTGTGATTGGAACATGATTTCATTCGGCCAATCAGATTTAAGTGACATGACATATGGGCTTCATGGAGCAGACTTGTCATTTTTGACACATGTCGTAATTCTATTGACTTCTTGTTTGACTTGGAATGCCACATCATTTACCATGTGGCACCAAAAAATGGGCCTCTAGGATGAGATGAAATTGGGTTTAGCAAATCGGGCTTCATCTATTATAGCCCAAATCAATTAAATTGAATTTTAATTAAATTCATATTTATTGGACTTAAATAATTAGCCCAATTATATTAATCCATAATATTTATTTGAACTAATATATTTATGAATTTAATATAATTCAAATCATTTTATAAATTTATATGTAATAAATTTTAAATGATTAACGTTAGCTAACTGAAAAAAAAGTTTACTACCCACAATATGATTGTTGATCAAAGAATCAAATAATTTTGTGTAGGATAATATAAGTAAACTAATTAAACAAATCAAAATTAGTGATAACCAGGAAGTCTGAAATTGCCCCTTTTTTTTTGGTTTCCCATCCGGTGTCCGAAGCCCACATTGGAGCTCCGACTAAATTCGGATCGCACAGGCCCATTCGGGGGTGGCGCTCCCAACAAGATTTTCTTCATACCCAGGGCTCGAATCTAAAACCTCTGGTTAAGGGTGAAACACTCCCACCAGTGCACCACAACCCATGTTGGTCTGAAATCGCCCTTTAAGAATGTGTTTAAGATGTATTTATAGGGTTAGAATTTGACCTTGGGCCGAATTATGTCTTCTAGTCCAAACCTGGCTCAGACAGACTGAAAAACGCACGTGTGTTGTAACCATGAATGGACCTACATGGAGCCGAGAGGGTTCGTCCGAACCCCTCACTTAAAAAATTATATTGTATATGTATGGTGTTAAATTTGTGATTTGCGTATATATATCAAAAATACTAAACCCCCTTAACACAACACTAATACACAGTGCAAAAGGTTGAGGGTGGTTAAGATCTACCCATAATAACTGAGATTGAATCTCAGTGGATGGATTTTCATTGTTATTTTTGCTTCAGACCTATCTTCTCATTTTTCTTTTTTTAAATTAGTTTGTCAACTAATTTTTTTGGGCAAGACTTTATCAACTTTTTCAAATAGCTTTATATTGTAAATTTACGTGTTTCTTTCGATTATTAAATTAAATATATAGTAATATTTGAATCAAAAACTGATTTCCAAGTAAATATCATTATATATTTAATAAAAATATTTAGTTTAGATTAAAATTATTGAATTTAAGCTCGTTTATATATGATCTGATTTGTTTATATCTAAACCAACCCTACTAATTTATCAACACTATTAACATGCTTACTTTTTCTCGAAGCCCTTAAACGAATCTAGGTCCATCGCCATCTTACTAAAAAATATTGAATTTTATTCTTTTTTGTAGTGACGTTCTTTAAAACTAACTAGACTCTTAACTTCTGAAATATAAGAAATTCTAAGGTTAATAGACATGTTACAATTTAGTTTTTATACCAAAATGTAATATAGACGGATATTTTGTAATACGATTCAGTAGTAGTATAGAAGTGGTATTCTCAGGACCGTATACGATGTGTAGCAGACCAGTCATTGTTAAGGCATGGTGTCCTTATAATTTCAATTTCAACAATGAGGTGTTGCGAATGATTCCCGTATGGGTCAAACTCCCAAACTTGCCGCTAAATTGCTGGAGGTAAGGACTCCTTAAGGAGAATCGGAAGCGGATTAGGCCGCCACTTATATGCGGATGAGTGTACATCTTGTATTGATCGTATTTCCTTAGTGGAAATGGATATCACTCAAGTGTTGCCTGTTCACGTGAAGGTGCAAGATCCAAATGGAAGGGTGTTTGAGCAGAGCATAGAGTATATAAGAATGGAAGCCCTCATGCATACTGCACAAAATTAAAGTCTCATAATTGGTCATTCTTGCCAAAACCTTGAAACCAAGAGACAAGATGAACATGGTGTAAATAAGCAGAAAACTAAGCCAGTTAAGATTCCCGAACCCAGGGTGAGATGTCAAGCACGATACGGTTAGCAATCAAGAGAAGCCCCGACCCGACCCAAGAGTAAGACGATGGCTAGCACAATGTAAAAAAGCAGGAGAACGTGATCACCACATTAATTACCAACTGAACAGCAGGTACATGATAAGGAACAACAAGCTACTATTAGCCATCAAACTAAGCAGATGACCAGTCCTAAACAAAATCAAGGCGACACATGGAAAGACCCTTAAGAATCGGGTAGTTCCTATTGCAAATGTTTTTAATCCACTGGTGGAGGAAATAATACAGGAAATGTAGAATGAATCAAGGCCAAAGTAGCTCGGAGGCTCCAGCAATACCAAAAAATCCTATACGAAGTTGGTAACGTGGAACGTAAGAGGTTTGAATAAAGCTAGTATACAAGCAAAAGGAGTTGAAGGTGTTCTTAACAGAGACAAATGTAGGTTTGATTGCTATAATTGAAAATAGAGTCAAAAGAGATTTCTTCCTCAAGGATTGTGAAAAAGATTGCATATGGATGGAAATGGTGCAACAACTACCAACCAACACTCTAACAGAGGAACAATATGGTTATTATGGGATCCCGCAAAGTGTGACTTTACTCACACGCATTCCAGTAGCCAATATATCCACGGGATAGTAAAGGTTTATCGAATATGGATTTCCAATTCACTGCTATTTATGGCTTACATAACATAAGAGACAGGGGTCAGGTATTATGGGCAGACCTCAAAGGCATAGCTGATCAGATGCTAGACCCATGGTTAATTATGGGAGACTTTAACACAATTTTACATATCGAGGATAGAAGCAACGGGGGGCTCCTGTCCAGGAAGCCGAAATAAGAGATTTCAACAATTTCTTAGTAGAAACGGGAATGATGGAAATTGTGAGAAATATATGAAAAGATATTATTGAATTGATGTTGTTTACATTATTACATTGAGACCCTACTATTTATAGACCCTAGAATACAATCATTTACCAAGTAGGATACTATTTAGTATTCCTATTTCTATTTCTATTACTATTCATATTCTAATAGAATTGTATAAACATATTCTTATTCTAATAAGATTGTATAAACTTATTCCTATTCTAACAGAAATGAAAGTCGTGGGAAGGGACTACACATGGACAAATCAACATGTCTACCGTAGAATAGATAGGGCAATAGTGAATGCTCACTGGATAAAGAATTGGGCACATATGGAGGTGAATATCATGGACCCGCGGTGCTCAGACCACTCTCATCTGTGTGTGGCTCTATCTACTGTTGAGAAGAAAAGGAATAGACCGTTTAGATTCCTAAATTGCCTAGAAAGTCATCAAGAATTTTTTCACGTAGTGCAATGAGGTTGGAATGAACCAGCTTATGGAGATAGCATGAATAGAATTTGGATGAAACTTAAATATGTGAAAAATGGCTTGAAGAACCTGAATACACATGAATTCTCGGGGATAGAATCCAAAGTGAAAGATTTTAGAAGACACCTCTCTAATATACAAGCACAAATGAGAAACGTGAATCATCAGACAACCTTATTTGAAGAGGAGAAAGTAATAAAGCAACATCTAGAGAAATGGAGCCTTATTGAAGAATCAATCATGAAACAAAAATCAAGGATCCAATGGCTCAAGCTAGGCGATTCTAATAATGGTTTTTTCTTTGCGAGCATGATAAATAGGGATGCACACAACTACATCAGAAGTCTGGTGAATGAACAAGGAGCATTGATTCAGGCAATTACTGAAAAAAATTTGAGCTACTATAAGCAGTTGTTCAAAGCTTCCACCAGCCATCTACCTTGCGTGAATGTAGAAGTTATGAGATCAGGAGCAGTTTTGAATAGGCAACAACTCAGCCTTATTGAGCCTGTTAGAAGAAAGGAAATTTTAGATGCTTTGAAGGAATTGATGATCAGAAAGCACCGGGAATAAATGGTTTCAATTCATTCTTTTTCAAGAAAGTATGGCACATAGGGGGATCCGATATTGAGAGTGCAGTGATGGATTTTTGTTCAGAACCTCAAGGATGTACAAATCCATTAATTGCACATCAGTGACTTTAATTCCAAAGGTAAAGCACCCATCTTCTGTTACAGACTTTAGACCGATATCTTGTTTCACTGTAGTGTATAAGATTATTTTTAAAATCTCAACTACAAGACTTCAAGTTGTTATGGACTGCCTTGTGGATTCCAGTCAAGCTGCTTTTGTTTCAGAAAGGATTATTTCTGATAATATCATCTTAAGTCATGATCTTGTAAAAGGATACAACAGAAAGAGAATTTCCCCTAGATGCATGCTTAAGTTAGACATGAAAAAAGCATATGACTCAGTTGAATGGGCTTACTTGCAACAACTTCTTTATTGTTTGAAATTTCCCGATCAATTTATATGTTAGATCATGAGTTGCATAACCACAATTTCTGTTGGAATGTATGCATCCACCAGTCTAGATGGGACCAGGTCCTCAGCACAGTTACAATAACAGAAAATAAACAAAGTGCTGAAAGTAAAGATTGCACAACAACTTTACGTGGAAACCTCTTTGCTCAAGGGAGTAAAACCACGACCTGGCCTGCCAGGACTTTTCAAACTTCTTTCACTAATCTTCTCAAGCAAAAGTAAAAGCAAGTTTACAAACCGAGATTAGCCTACTAATACCAACTCTAAGCAATACCTCCTATTACTTAGATGAGCCAAAGCAGATACAACACTGCCCACTAAGCTATCACCCTAGATAACTTAGATTTTGCTAACCGGATACAACACCGCCCACTATACTAATCCTGACCGATTAATATAGACTTTAGAGTAAGACCCTAAGTTACCCTTAACCTAGTTCTTACAATGATTCACACAAATTTGAAACGTATCTTTCACAAGTGAAACGAAACCTACAATGTAAGCACAATTACAAGCAAACAAAGTAACAGTTGGTACAAGAAGCTCTTGAAGTAATCGATCAGATCCCTTGTTGTTCTTGAAGCTTGAAATATTTCTCTCTTTGAATGAATGAATCAATATTGTTGTGTGTTGTTTGATATATACCATGAAGAGTTATTACCAAACGTACAAGCAACCTCCTTGCTTCTGATTGGTGAAGTACTCTGCAGCTTCACCAACTTTCTGACGCAGACAGCTTTTACAGTTGTACAACACTTTGACAGCTGGACGAGTATTCATACTCTGCAGAGGACCAGGTCCCTGCACTTGTGAGGAGATCATCAAAACATCTAGGAGCATAAGCACTTATCAATTTCCCCCTTTTTGATGATGACAAACAACCTGAATATCTCATCTCGTGAGTGGAATAACATTCATTCAAATACATAATAAATTCCCATTTTGTTAGTGCACCAGTAACAACCACAGTTCCCCCTTAGTTCAATGCCCCTATTCCACAACCAACTTTACAACAAAACTTCCCCCTTTTGACATCATTGAAAAGGTGAAGCAGTAAACATATTCAAGTTAAATGCAAGGTAATAAAGAATTCAGGGCCTTGGGCCACACGGAACATGTGTATGTAAGCATAAAGAGAATATTAAACCACACATGAACAAGGCACTTAACAAAAAGAGAGCGCATCATATCATATATACTGACCACTGTAGTTTAGTCAAAACAACAAAAGACACAAGGTGAAACATCAAAAGAACATACAAGACTCATTTAGGACGGAGGAGGGGAGGGATTAAAAGTATGCATCAACAGCAACATGCGCTCATTTGCACTCTCATGGGCCTGTATCAGTTGCTTGTTTAGGGACTTAATGTCCTCATTAAGAGAGGCATTTGTCTTCAGCAGCATTGTGTTTTCATCCCTTAATTCTTTGAGCACCAGTTCGTGACCCTCACTGGTACCAGGTACCCTGGAAATGGCCTTCTCCAGTTCAGACTTCAGCCTGGTGATTTCAACCTCCTTATCGGTCAGAATCTTGGTGAGATCAGTCACCTCCCTCCTAAGAGTAGCCTGCTGTTCCAAAATATCTGCCACCTGAGATCTGCCCCTAGCTGGTCCCTCAATGCACTCACATTCTAGTAGAGTAGACATAGTGAACATTTGTTTGGTAGTGCCAGGTACCCCTCTTCCTACTGGAACTTCAAATGGTTAAAGACAAAGTTTAGCAAATACCCATAAGGAATTCCGTGCTTCACATTCTTCCATGTCATTACTCTATGCATGTGTTCCAGTATAATTGGAGGGAGATTAATTTCCTCAAGCTCATTAAGTTTTTCCATGAGGAAAAGATCGGCAGCAGAGGCCACTGTTCTCTTCTCAGTCCTGGGCACCATTACTTTGTTAATGAATTCAAACATCAATTGATACTCCCCTTTAAGAAACTTCT